TTGCTCTTCAGAACGATTCAATAGTATGGAAGAAGATTCAATAGTATGACTACCTGCTCTACTTCAGAAGGAAGAAGAGCAAGTTGCTCTTGCTCTTCAGAACGATTCAATAGTATGGAAGAAGATTCAATAGTATGACTACCTGCTCTACTTCAGAAGGATTCCATAGTAAATGGACATCTTCATGGTCCTCTAACTTGCGGCAGTAGTTACGAGAGGGAGGGCACTTGGTCGAGCGCGCCGCGGGCGGGACTGGAGGAGCTGTGGGTAAGCTATCAGCGTATCAATAGTTGCTTCGCGGATGTGGTCATACGGACGAGTCATCACACCGATCTCTTCTGGATCCAGGACTACCATCTCCTCATGCTCCCGCAGTACCTCACGCGGAAAATACGGAAGGCAAAGTAGGGCGGAACCATGTTCTTTTGTGACACTATATATTATAACTTAGATATGACAGGCTAGAAGGTAAATGAATGAATGAATGAATGACAACATATAACTTAGATTGATAAACAGTTGTCATATCAGTCAGAAGCTTATTAATGTACTTAGATGGACAGACTGTCACAAGAAAGTGACCGTACTAAGGTAAATCAAAAAGAGCGTTCATATCAGAAGCATATTATAGATAGATAGATAGAGAGACAGACAGACAGACAGTTACAACAAGAAGGTGACCGTACGAAGGTAAGTCAAAAGAACCAACAATTTTTCTACTTATGGGCACGAGCTAAGTAAGTACTTGATGAGGCCGTTGTATGTACATCTAAGAGATTGATTATCTGCTGCAAGGATGTCTTAATCAAAATCATATTCAAGAAGTCAGCATTATCCAGTCTCCATTCTACGCATGATTATTGCCTATCCTGCCCTTGACGTTCATCATTCCCCTTCCTCTCCTTCATTCCTCTATCGGCTTGTACCTGCACACACCGTTCCCGAGCTCAGACATTTTCAAGTGTCTCCCATGGCGGGAAGAAATACTACGTGCGATGCTATGCGCAGATCTTGTAGGATTTCAGTTTTTCGAGTATGTCCGCAAGTTCTTCATCACTGTAAAAAAGTTCTTGGGACTCGACTACCAATTTCTGCGCTACGGGCAGATGGCAGTGGAATACGGCGGCAGGAATGTAATTTATGACCAAGGAATTTGGAAGAGTGCTTGAGGAAATGGGTGTGCCCAGTCCTGGCTGATTGCTGTTGCGGTCGTGGTTTATTCCACTTCTTTTAGTAATTACACTGTGATAGAAGAGATGATGAATGAACTTCGAATTTTCCCGTGACTAGAGGACAAGTATCTTTGTTTCATGCCTCGGTCACAGTTGGTCACGTGATGGTAAATGTCGCGGAGGTTGCGCAGGCGGCGAGCAAATTAGGCGAGCTAAAAGAAGCCCTTAGAGCTGACGACCTTTCGGCTGCGCAGAACACTCAGCGAGGATTGTTGGAGGACGCAACACACGAGAGACCAGTAGTTGTTATGGTTTACCGAACAATTGTATTCTTCACTACCATTCATGATCTTGACTTGTTTTCCAATAGGAAGGAATAAGAAGTCAACAAGGATGATCTCTCTGAAGAATGTAATGGCGCAACCCCTGCTAAGGTACAGTCGGATGTTGTTGAGGGTCGTGCCTTGGCAAGAGAAGGAGGAGGAGGAGGGCACTCAGCTGCTCTGTTTAGCAGTGGTGGTGCGGAATTTGGGGGTCTAGAATTTGTTCCCGCACGATCAAGTGGTGCGCGTGTGATCCAACAAAGCGGCTACTCTGTAGGCACTCCGGGAACCACGACGAGTGTTAAGCAAAGGACTGAAATAAGTACAAGTACAGTTCGTTGAGCTCCTTGAGCAGAAAATAACAGCCCCTCTTTTATTTAAAACTGATCGATGATAGATAACTATAACTTGCTTGAGCAATGAATTTGAGTTCTTTGAGAGTCTCAAGATCTGAATTTTAGACTCTAAGCTGAATTTGAAATTTTTTGACTCTAAAGTCGGATCTCCTGCTACCCTCGCGAGTCCAGATCTACTTCCGACGCAGAGTATTTCTGGTTCACTGGCACCCAGCATCAGTGTGCCAGCCTTGTCCGACATCGGTGGGTCCTCCATTCCGAAGATTGGAGATAGACTCAGCGAGTGCTCGCTTCGGGGTTTGGCCAAAATCAATGAGCAGCTTGAAGACGAGAACGCGGAATCGCTATCACCTGACAAGCACGACTCAGAGGAGCGGGACGAAGATCGAGAAGTACTTGTTCGAATAAGAGGCCATTTTTGAATAGATTTTACCATGCTGGTGCTGCACGACTGGCTCGTTGGAATGTTGTAATATTCGAGTATTAAAAATATTGATGTTCACGTTGAGGGTGTAGTTGCGGCGGCGTAGTAAAAAATTAGCCGAGATGTAGTGCTTCTTATCTTACTCATGCTGTTACAAGTTTCGCTTTCGTTCCAAAATCAGGATACCCTTCCGAACGTCGGCTTCGCAACGACAGTTGTGCAGAGTTCTTTCGCGGAAGGGGATGACTCGCTGAGCGGGACGTCGAAGACTGGCGAAGCTTCGCCTCTCTGTGCTTCCATGACTAGTAGCTGTGCCACAACTGTGGTCTTGGCTGCAGATTCGGCGGTCGAAGGAGTAGTGCATTCTGGTAGCCCACCTGGCTTGCGCTCCCTTCTGGGCACCTCCACGTCACCACCGGCACCGCTTCGATTAAGGGTTACCGAATTACATCCCGCACTACCCTTCTTGGCTCTTTATTTCCTACCCGAAGAAATGAAGCCAGGGATGTCCCGAAGAGGAGTGTGTTGATCGTAATGCTGCACCCTCTAACTCAGCGGGCCGTGACGTTAGGCACCGCGGCCGGGCCAATGCATGTGACTGTGGCGAAAAACTTCATGAATTCTGGTGATATTCAGGACTCTAGCACATCCCCGCGCCAACCGCAGGCGAGTGTCTTAGGACCAGATGGAGCTGAGCCGCACCCGGGTGGACCGCATACGTACGGAGCAGGTTTTCCCCACGACCGAGGGGGCGTGCCACGGTATGCCTACCCAACGGCACCCGAGCACGTCCATGCTAGTGGTGTCGCAACCATCGGCGGACCTGGAGGTGGACTCTACTATGGTGGCCCTCGTCCACATCCGATAGGCAGGTCACACTCGGTGGCACACTTCCGACCACCTCAAAAACTCTTGGCCACCAAATCAAAGTCACGTCGTAAGTCACGGCATTTGCGTCGATTGCTCTCGCTGCGAGACGACTATGTTAAGGATTTAGTTGTTGATCACTATCTGGTTCTGGTGTGGACTATGCCGAACAGTGGGCTTACCTTAAAAGTTATAAGGGGATGTTGTCATGTGAGAGAATACGGGGAATCGATCCAGATCCACTGCCACGCCACAACGGATAGTGATTGCCTGGCGTTAACTCAGCAGGCAAGTTCATCTTCGCGGGTCTTGACCGTTGCGATGCTCTGGCGGGAGTGATGCTGAAGATCCGCATGTTTCATGGTTTTCTGGCAGACTATCCAAGATATCAAAACAATTAAGGCGCACACGATTTTGAATGAGTGTAAGAAGGATTACTAAAACGGCAAGAAACAAAGAAGTGGAAGGACGAGCATAATTGTGCATTTTAGATTCACCACGCTCGATGGTCGTTCAGGAGCAAGCTCGTCTACTCTTTTCCAATATAATGATGGAGTATCAACAGGAGCTCTATCGAGGACAAAACACAGTCAAAATTTTAACGTCTAAGACCGAGTTCTCCTAGTCCAGTGTGTGTACCCCAGTACGACCAGTATGCTTCCGGCAGACGGACGGAACAAACTCGTGGAAGCACTTCAGGGCTTGGTAACTGAAGTAAATGACGCCTTTGGAGAGCACATTCTACTGATCACAGATGAGGTCGAACGGGACGAAAAATTGGCCTTGTTCCGCAGCGCCGATGTTTTGGTGGACACCCAGGTCCGAGACGGTCTCAATCTCGGCCCTTTCGAGTTTTTGGCTTGCCATCAGGACACTAGACGGGTATTCACCGTGATTTTGTCGATGGTTCTTCGTTTTAGTTGTTGATGAGAACTCGTCGTTTTTCCCTCTCTCTCTCTTTGTCAATGGAAAGATAACATAGAATAAACCTACTAGTACCATCCTGAAAATAGGCATCGTTGATTCTTTCGGAGTTTACGGGTTGCTCGCGTGTTTTGCAGGGCGCTATCCAAGTGAATCCTTGGAATACGCAGCAGGTGCAAGCTGCTTGTGATCGATGTTGTAGGATGGCAATCGCAGAGCGCGTCGAAAGGTAGCGCATGTGGATTTTTTTAAGCTTGCTTCAGTATTAATACAGCAAACCAGCCTTTTAGATAGTCTCCGTCTCAATTTTTCAACACGATCATGATCTGCAATTATTGTCAAACCAAGATCGCTACACTACAACCTTTTTTGTTTTATACACTCTAGACGCTGCCAAGGCCTACGCCTACAACCTTTTTTATTTACTCTAGAAGATCAAGTAGTAGTACACCTGCAGCTACAACATGCATGCATAGTTGTCTAGTGAATACATAGCAATAGTATCTTCGTCCGTTTAGTGGACGAGGAGGCAGTAAGAAGGGCAACTCCACCAATTTTAGGTACACGATCGATATGGATTATTGCAAGAACCATTCTCTTTTGAAGTGGGCTTTAGGGTTTTTGCAAGATTTACGGAGTGCCAGGAAAAAAGACGAGTACAGCTATATCTGCTACGGATTCGGTGCGAATTACAGACTGATGTCCCTAGACGCACAGTTTAGAAAATTGGAGACCGATGACGTGATCCAGTCCTACCGAACCAGCCGGACGAGCCGCGTCTTCTTTTTGGATAATGTTATGCTACAACGAGAAGGCCTAGGAAGAGTTCAATATTTTAGAACGTTGATTTGATAGATGTTGGAGTTCGTGGCATTTGCATGAACCAATTGAAGAAGCGTTTCGTCCTGTAAGACTCACTTGTGCCCACAACATAGGAACTTGCTTGAAGTTTATTTTGCATCCGTCCTCTTTTTGCAAAGGTCCTCTGAAGCAAGCTAGTTCCCCTTCTCCTTTGAAGTTGTTAGTTCTCCTCTCTTTCATGCCCAAAGGCACCTTGGCAGCGGATCTGCGACATTTGTACTCGCGTCGGGGCGCCGCACCGACGAATAGCGAGGAGTTGAACTCGAAAGGTGCACCGCCCAGGGAGAGTGTCCTCCAATGCCTTAGAGAATTATCAAGGGATCCGAAGAACATTGTCGTGGTCATCAGTGGGAGAAGTAAGACGCAAATGCAAGATTGGTTTGCGTCTGTGCCTAATATCGGTCTCGCTGCTGAACATGGCTGGTGCTACAGGTTGCCGAGCATTTCGGGGGACGACTGGTAGTACTTACTACCTGCATAGTAATATTGTAGTAAGTACTTGCATAGTAATATTTGTAATTCGCTTGGGTGTAGTAAGTACTTGCATAGTAATATTAATTTGTAATTCGCTTGGGTGTAGTAAGTACTTGCATAGTAATATTTGTAATTCGCTTGGGTGTAGTAAGTACTTGCATAGTAATATTAATTTGTAATTCGCTTGGGTAGAAGATGGACATGGAGTAGAAGAAATAGTTAGTACAAGAACTCCCTAAGCTGGTCAATAGATTTTTTGTTCAACATTTGAATTGAAAATTTGTTTACAAGGCCAATGCGATTGTTTACAAGGCAAGGGCAACCTAATCAAAGGCTTTGATTAGGTTGCCCTTGCCTTTGGTCCTCAAGAAGAAAACTTCACGATATCTTCAGGTATGTTACGTCACAGGGGGTGGAAAACGGCAAGGACAGTACATGGAAGAAAATAGTTTTCGAGCTTTTAAAGCACTATGTGCATCGCACGCAAGGCAGTTACATCGAGAACAAGGGCTCAGTTAAGGGTTGTTGGGACATTCTCCATTATTTAGAAGCCTTCTTCATCTTTGTTTACTCGTGATATTTAACTTATTACAAGAAAAGATGTTGCTTATAAGACGTAAAGATAAAGAACGAAGGCTTGTAGAAATGAATTGAAATTGTCTCAGCCTCTTCTAACTCAGCATTAGTATGGACGTATCGCGACTCCGATCCTGAATTCGGGAGATGGCAAGCGAAGGAGCTGTCCCAGCATTTGCGTGAGTTCATGTTTGCCTTCCCAGTCGAGATCGTAGAAGGGAAAGGCTACCTAGAAGTCAAACTTGCGGGAGTGAACAAGGGATCGGCAGTGTCGAAGATTCTGTCAAATTATGGCGATTCTTTCTCAGAAAGCGGGCAAGAGATGACAACAGTCAAGGATAGAAGGTCGATCTTGATGTGATTTTGTATCTACTACAGGTAGTACGTCGAAGATATGTTTTTGTTTCTACGTTGGTAGGTAGTTAGGGGGTTATGAACACTATCAAGTACTGGGGACACTATCAAGCACTGGGGACACGATGAGGTACTGGGGACACGATGAGGTACTGCGGACACTATCAAGTATTGGGGGCACGATGAGGTACTGTGGACCCACACGATGAAGAACGTTCGTCTACGCCAACGAAAGGGAAACAAAGGGATCTTCTTCTCCTTCTAATCTCAGATTTCGAAGATTCGGGGAGAGCCGGATTTCATCCTTTGTATAGGCGACGACCGCTCGGACGAAGACATGTTTCAGGTTATAAATGCTTAAGGCTGTAGATAATGCTTTCATCTTTGAGAGGGGGCTCAATGTGAAGGATCCATAACCTAACCTAACCTAAGACCTGGGGCGGCCATACAGTCTCTACGGTGGTCTCGAGTGGCCGTATAATGAGAAGGACACACTTGACATCGTCCTTGTGCTGAAAGTGATCATGCACAGTTCTAAAATGCAATGCGGGATGAGCGCGCAGGTCCAGACAGCTGCAGTACGACCGATGAGACGGCTTCGGATAGTAGTACCTGGCGTCAGCAACGATCTAGCTCCATTATTGGCGGCCTCTGTAATCTCGGAAGTGACCAGATGAACGGTGCTGGCAAGCGAACGGGTATATCATTTCTGAAGTACTAAGTGCCTGCCGAACCCCAAGCACCGTGACATTGTGATTTTGGTGTACAGATAAGATAAATTGATGCATGGAAAAAGTAACAAAAAATGATCAACGGGCGATTATATCCTCTACTACAATCGAACACCAGCTTATTTTTCGTGCACCGTGGGTCAAAAACCGTCCAAAGCGAAGTACTTTTTGCATGACGTGGATGAGGTGAGCGATCTGATAGATCAGTTGCGGTGTTGCGTGCAATGGAGCCTGCAAAGAGATGGCGATGAGCTGAGGGCTGCCAAAGGACTCGCCAATCTGCGCTTCGGGGAGCCTGTTGCAAGGAGCGCAACCTCACGATCTGGAGCCTCGGTTGTTAAGGCCGCTTACTTGCTTGATACGTTTCTTTTCTTTGAAAACATTCATATACTTTTTTGATTCATCATGATATTGTAGTACTAGTTCTTCTAGAGGCAAAAATTGGAACCACATCAGGGTGCTAAACCGGTAAAGTTGGTGGTACAACTTGAACTTATTATATTTCGAAAATGATGACTCACAGGAAGACGAGTTCGTCCTCTAAAGCACTTTGTTCCGGAGGTGGACTTACTTCTGAGGGTACTTCTTCTACACGACCGTCTTCTACGTTGACAAGCAAGAGCACCAGCAAGCTGAGTGGAAGTAGCGGTGGTGATGTACCTGCAGGAAGCAATAGCAAAAAGTTAGTAAGTAGTAAAAGACCACCAGAAGTAGATGTCGAAGAAGTTGTGATACGACAAGGAGACGGGTACGACACCAGAGATGATTCTACTTCTACTTCTTCCGATGAAGATGATGGAAAGGATATTAATTACGGCAGTACTCGAGGAGATGAACAACAACAACGTGGAGACAAATCCCATTTTTATGGTTTGCCACATTGCAATCTGCGCTATCATTCTTGGCCGTTTTTCAATGGGGAACGAAACAAGTCAAGGATGGTCTGAAGAATGCAATGTCGCAACCTCTAGCATTTGCCGAACGCGTATCGCGGACGGGTGTCCTCTGGGTCTAGTACAAGAGGCACCACTAGAAGAAGAACTCGCCAAGATGAGAAGATAGACACTTGTTCCCGAAACGTGGAGTCTCGGAATCATGGAACAAATCTCCGAAGCACACGCAATTCGTCGGGAGAACAGCGAGGACCATGTGCGCGCGTGCATCCTGCTGCTCAACATCGTTATGAAGAATCTGACGAAGAGCAGGACGATGACTTTTGCCGCGACGACGGGACTGCGAGGTCACCACCAGGACACGACGCTGAGCAGCATTTTTCAGAAGAGCATTCGGAGCACGGTGGAGGTGTCACGGAGATCAGGCAAGACATGCACTCTTCCAGCGATGAAGATTCCTTTTCTCCAGCAAGTAGAGGTGGTAACTATGGTTAAGGCTCCATACATTTCACTCCTAAAAGTCACTTGCATTTCTCATTCGTGCCAGTACCTTGTTCAGCTTCGAGAGCGGCGGTCATCTCTTGGTCCTCGACATCTTCTTTTTCTACAACATCTTTATAAATATTTTAAGTGGATGCTTCCGGTCTTTGGTATAGCCTGAGTTTGATCATAAGGGAAAACAAGAAGAGAACCCTTAGATGATCCAATTCAGGCTATACCAAAGACCGGGGCCATCCATTAAATTTTAGGGTTGGGAGAACAGATGTTGCAGGCAAAAAGTGAAATGTTTTGCGCTCTAATATGGGGAAAATCATGGGAAGCCTCTGTCTCCCCGTAACTCTCTTCCACCGCCGAAGTACACCCGCCAGAGTGCGTCGTCGTCTTGTAGCACCGCGCTCACTCCCGACCAGCGGGAGACAGTGGTAGTAGACTCGAACTGAGGAATCGACTCCATCAACAAGGGAAACGGAGTACAACTCAGAAGCATGATAGGCGATTCACGTGGAAAAGTAGTCATAGGAGTAGGTGAGGCCGAGCCTGAGGCGCTAGTGCTTCCAAATATCATGCATGCTCCCGAATAGTACGATGGTTTCAGTTTTTGAGCTTTTGATGCAACTCGATAGGAACCTCCTATGTATATTTACTAAGTAAATTTTTATTGTTAAGCGTAGAGAAAGTTAGAACGAGATGCAGAGGGTAAAAGCACTATTGGTTTTTCAACGTCTAAGAAATATGCTCAATAGAACAACAGGAGCTTGTTGTTCATGTGTATAATTTCGTAAATGTCCCCTTTATTTTCTTGTATAAATTCTCAGTCTGTCTTGAGTTCCCCTAGGGTTTGGTCTCAAAGCTGATTTGGCAAGTCAGATTGGAGACACATGACATGATGTTACTGTTTTCGTCAATTGGCCGTATTTACTAACTATATGATCACTGTGCGTTATTGAGTGCTTACTTGTTTCTACTTGTAGTTTTTCAAAACTTTCTGACTAGTTCGGGTCAACAGACGGCACGCCGCCACATGGCTCAAGAATGCTGACGTCGTGTATTCCCATCATCTTCGGATTCGAACAGGTGCCGGCGGAGCTCGATGTGAAGGATCCATAATCTTACCTAACCTGCCTGCACCTCTGAGGTAGTGTCACTTCGTTCTAATGAGCAGCCGGTGCGAAGCTTCATAGACGACGTGTCGTAGTGTCACTTCGTTCTAATGAGCAACCGGCGCAAAGCTTCATAGACGACGTGTCGTAGTGTCACTTCGTTCT